CGAAAACGTCGAAAACGGGCTTTTCCATAAGCTCTTGATTTAAATTTTGTCGCCTGCCGCCAAGGTCAAGGGTCAAGATGCAGAGTCTCTGTGGGACTCTACGTCTTGACTGTGTGCGGTATGCGCACTCTGGCTTATCGAACTAACTCGTCCCCGGTCGCCAGGACGTTCTGGTCGCCACTTCTGAAGCGGTTTTCTCGCTTCAGAAGAAATTAGTGCATTGCCAGTTGGGCAAGAGCCTTACCAGGCCGGGAGCCCTTGTACTTTACATTTTCATTTTTGAGACGCCTTCAAAGGTACATGAGAACCTCTTGAAGTGCTCTTCTTGTCACTGCGTTTTGCATGCAAAACTCAGAATGGGACGTACCGCTATTGTTCACTTTCACTTAGACGAATGATTTAATAGGCCCTTCATTTCCTAGATTTACGTAAACAAATCAGTAAATTGATAGAAGAACCCAGGACTTCAACTCGCAATACTCTAGTTTCTAAACAGCATGCTCAAGTAACCCTCCCTGCACTGTTTTCCAGCTCCCAGCTCTAAACTTAGAAGAAGGGTACTTGGTGACCGTGGCCATTCGTAATGATTTGTATATCAGAAAATGCGCCTTTCAATGCTGGTCCGAATACTGTCTTCCATATGACGATAACCTGGATGGAGTTATGATCGTTTTTTCATGAATAAATTGCATTACTGCGGAGGGTTTTCATTAATAGAAGTTTTTTTACTTTCCAAATGCTGATTATGATTTAGATAGGTATAATACAACAGTACTCTTTTCAGATTCTCCTCAATAGCTTCAAACGGTAATCTAGAACAATTTTGGTGATTGTAGCTACCCAAAAGCACACAAATTTTCCACGAAAAAAGTTCATAACTTCCTTCAGAAGATCGCTTTGCAAATATCGAGCACAGTTTTAGAATCAGCGTTTTGAGGTGCATCTTAGGGTATACATCGCATTCCAAATGGCTACGGTCACCGAGTATCCTTTCCTTGTTAGCAAAATTCCAATGAATGTGTACCTCAATCACTTTTTAGAGACTGGTATTCTGTTTCTCAGACAGTCAAAGGGATATTGCGCCATTTGCCCGCCGGAGGTATTCCTTCTGTCTGAGTTGAATGTGCTGAGCCCGTAGCCCAAACTGTTTGCAACGATGAAATCGGTTTTGCTCGATAACGAAAGGTTGTCTGCGACGCCTGCCTTGTCCCGAAGTAAATGTGTAGTCCGGTCCGGAGCATCATAGAGTTTTCACAGTATACTTGGGTAATTCGAAAATTTTTCATCGAATGAATGAATATCGAATAAATTCGGAAAGGAAAAACTTCGAATAAACGAATATCGAATAAATTCGAGGTTAAAAATTTTTCGAATGAACGAATTCCGAATAAATGAAATTCAAAAATATCGAATGAATGAATATCGATTATATCCGAACATTGGGAGCCGAATTTCGAATAAATATTCGAATGATTTATCGAATAACTAGAGCAACCATATCTCAAACTTGCTGACATATCTGGCTGAAGCCGATCCATTCATAATCAGCAACCTCGTATCCCCTATACCAACTCCTAGCTCAAAATTTTCCGAAAATCGCTGAAATCGATAAAATCGATTCCGGTTTTAATCAGCATCCTCATTTACCCCCCCCCCCCCTGTACCAACTCCCAATCGCAGCTAAGACTTCTCCAAAAATCGATAAATTTGATGAAGTAAATTTTTATCCATAATCAGCACCCTCACTTACCCCCCTTGTACCAATTTCCAGTCCCGCAGCTAAGACTTTTTCAAAAACCGATAAAATCGATAAAGTAAATTTTCATCCTAATCAGCACCCTCACTTATCTCCTTGTACCAACTCCCAGCCCCGCAGCTAAGACTTCTTTAAAAATCGATAAAATCGTTTTTATATATAATCAGCACTCTTCTAACCCGTTGTACCAACCCCCAGCCCCTCAACAACGTCGCCACATATATACTTAAATGCCACAAATGCTACCATACATTGCCTGTTCATAGGACACTTTCGTCTTGTATGGCATAAGCTAATCGTGGACGAAGGCATGTGGTTTATTCCGCGAAGCGAGCACGATTGCCCCTAGCCCCGGGCATACTGCAGGCATTTCAGTGGCGACGTGGTTTGGCAATAGTCACATTGTCCAAAACTTATTCTAAAAGTACAGAATGCAGGGTATTTATCTTTTTAGTAAGTTGTACACGCTAAACATTTTAGGTAAGCTGGCGTTACATTTGAAGACATCTCGTAATTGGCAAATCGCGTACGGCGATCTAAACCGTCTAAACCTCCACTGCAACTGCGATGTCCTTTACTCAAAATACACCAGTTCGCAAAAAAACTCTATGGTAGCGAATAGAGGCAGTTGTGCAATATAACTTATGCGAGCAAGAGTGCTCACTAGGTGGGCTTTGCCCACAAGCATGAGCAATCCAAGGAAAAATAAGGCATTTCAAAACACTTTCAGTATATGAACTCGGAACATGAGCTTAAATTTGATAGCTTCTTTGCTGATTTGGTGCCAGTAGCAGTGCGAACAATCTCATTGATCGAAAAAGCATCAACTAAAATCCAGATATGATTTTTTACTGTCAAGCAGTCGGAAGAATGCGACTTTCCATACAGTTCAAAGGTCATACGGTTGCAAAAGCTGCATTACCGAGTTTTGCGAAAAAAAAAACGCGGACGAAGTGAGCTTGATACTCAGCAGGCTCTGCAACAAAGTCAAATAATTTGAATACGGAGTTCATTCGAATACGAATTCGAATAAACATTCGAATAAAACAATCGAATAAAATCTATTCGAAACCCCGTTTTTTGATTATTCGAGTTTCGAATTTTATTCGAAACCCCGTCTACTCAATTATTCGAGTTTCGAATGTTATTCGAAAATGGAAGAACTCCGAATATCGAATTTCGAATGCGAATATATTCGAATGCTTTATTCGAATGATCGAATTTCTATTCGATTCGGACCCAAGTATATTTCACAGCAAACGTGAATACACATGCAAGGCAAGCCCTTCAAGAAACATTCGAACGCGCGCGTCAACATGGAGAAAAATGAAAGAAAATGGAGATGGCACTTTAGCTTACTCTTTAAGGGTCGTTTTTGATAAATTTTACATTTCTCGAAACGCAGTGCTTGTAGAAGGCTAAAAATTTTATCTACACTTTCACTTGAAAGGTCATTCGACGAGGGACTAATTTCTAAACGAGATTTACTCGCATCAAGGTGGTGGTAGAGATTACTAGTACGCTTATTCATACATTTCAAAGAGTCAGTACGAGCCCCTGTGAAGCGAAAAGGAGGCACTGGTAAACGATATCGGTCTGCTATACAGCAAAACTAGCTTGCTTACCCGGCTCCGCTAGGCCCTGTCAAACACTGTAATAAAGGTCCCATCCCTATCCCTGTACAGCCTTTCCCTGTGCCCACTTCTACACTTTATTTTACGTTCCCTGGGTTGTTTTCGAAATCAGCATGCCCACTTACCCCCCTGTGCCAACTCCCAGCCCTGTAGCTCAAATTTTGCAAAAAATCGATAAAATCGATATCGATCGATAACGAAAAGTAGCCTATGACACGCTCCCTGCCCCGAAGTATATATGTGCCAAGTTTGGTCCAAATCGGTTCAGAAATAAAAATTTCTATTCCGCACATACGTACAGACAGACAGACATACATACATACAGACATTCAGCTTTATATATAAGATTAGCAAAATCTTTTAACGTTTGTCGAATGCGAATGTGAGAAAATTAAAAATGCTGAACATTTCTAAAGTCACATTTATCCGCAAAATACGGGTTCTAAAATGTTAATTGTTGAATGTCCAGGTGTGCGCGAGATTCCTCAAAAGGTCAAGTCTTTTGATACAGCTTGCTAGTAACTAACTGAACAAGCTTACTTAGAAAGTACAATCTGCTATTGTCATCAAACAAGACATTGTCAACTACAAAGTCCCAAGTCATAATTTGGGAATGTTGTTTCTTCAAATTACTTCTGTATCGCACAGGCTTGTTAAGTGCCTTTGTTTCCAATCCCACGACCCAACGTTTCAATACCATCGTCTTCCGCAAATGCCCGAAAATGGTTCAAAGTTGACTCAACACCACCAAAGATCGAATCCAAGTAAGCTTCTTTTCGGCTTTTCCTCATGCTAATTTGATTGCTGGTCTTTCGCCATTCTTGCTCTGCACAATTCCCATACCAGCAAGACTGAGAAGAAGCCAAAAATTTCAGATGCGGTCTTTGATTTTTTCGAGACACATTGAATTTTTCATACGAAGGCCATTGACAAATCTGTTTTGCATAGAAGTAATTGGAAGACTTTAGCACATGCGGGATGTCCTCAGAATGTAAGGATCGTTTGGTCGTTGACTCATCAAAAAGCTTCTGCTTAGGTATCATATTGTAGTGGCTTTGACTTTACAACACAAAAAGACCGATTCTTTACCAGCATAATCTTTAGTTTGAAAAAGTATATCGTGACAACGGTTTTCCGTGTAATCAGCAAAACCCTGATTATATCAACTAATCTATCATCTTCTATCATCTCGCTCTATAAAGATATCCTACGTTACTTACTACATTGAGTTAGTGTTCCTGAAACTCTCACTACAAAAGGTTAAGACTCTTTGAAGATTTTCTGAAACGGCAGGCGATTCAATGACGACACTGGTCTAAAGTTTATGCTGTAATCCTACAGTAATGAAGACTGAATTGGTATATTTTGTACAATAATTTTGAGTTGAAGCCAGCCCTATAACATGCGGTTCATAGTTCAGCGAAAGTTGTTCATACAAAAGACCCACTAGCGATACGAACGTGTAACACATTTTCTTGGGACATCCTACCATTCTGCTATCCTGGTGCATTTCGAGGTGTGTGGAATTTGTTCTTACATAAAGGTGCAAATGACACTTTTGGGCTTACATAAGTACAAGAAACGCATAGCCATAAATCGCAATGACTCACAACTGTGCAGTACTCTCCTCCCAGGTTGTTGGGTTCGTTACGATCCCAGTTTTCGAAGTCAGTGGGTGAGTGGTCAATCCAGTGTTTTTCTCGCGTGTTTGCATCTACTGTCGCGAAACGCAAGCCAATCCAAGTCTTTGTATGGTTGCTTTTTTCTGCAAAATATACTAAGTCTATATCAAAAATGTAAAGAAATACGTAAAAAATTGAGAGCTTGCTTTCCTACAAGAAAGCGTATTTGCCTTAAGATGCTTGTTTTGGTTTTTTTACGAAAAGTGCAGCCTGTTGTGACTATTGCAAAATGAGCAAGCGTTTCACCAAGCAACTCCTTTCAATACGAAAAAACGTGAAAACTAACGAGAAGCTGCCCAAGCAAAAGTTTTGACTAGTATAATTTCTTGGAAAGTTTGTCACCGTGAATAAGTTTGTTTTGCTCTTGAGTGTGTATGGAAGCCAAAAGTCCACCAATGCTCTCACAGTACTTTTCCGCTTCATAAGCAGTTTTGTCCTCAAAGAACACCTGCAATTGTCAAAAACTTTATAAATGAATCAGCTTCCAAGAAGATTAGCTGCGGCACAGCAAAAAATAGAATACATCATAGCTATGCGATGATTGTTACGGAAGATTTACCTTAAAGCATAAGTGCTTCGGCTCAGTGTTCCAGTTTGTATGCACTATGGTTGCATTGCCTTAAAAGTTTTTTTATAATCCATAAACGTCACCGTTTTCTTGTGAGTTTTTGCGTTGTGGAAGAAACAAGTTCAAATTTGAGTTTTCACTCGAAACAAAACGATGCTGTGGCGGTCATTAGTGATGAATTGGATACTGGCAGATGTACCCAGAAATGCTTGTTCAAAGGATTAATGTTCTTTTCTTCACTCACGCCAATGAAATGAAAACAAAACATTGGCACTTTCGTCTGCATTATAGGGAAATTACCGTGTCATGTTGCCTAGTTTAAGGATCAGTCTATGCAAAGGAAATTTGGTAGAAATGAGGTCATGGAAGAAGTTGGGGCACCTACAGCTTATTCCGTGTTTTTATCAAGCATAGTGCATGTCAGTTCTTCTTACATTGCAAAACTGAGAGGTGGCAATTGGAAAAGTGATTTTCAAAGCTGAGATTATTTTGAAATCGGCGAAGAGAAGTTTGATTGCTTCAAATCAACGCTCTATAGCGTGTACCTCGGCCAGCTTCCACAGATAGCTCCGCTTCGCGCACGCAGCGCGCTCGGACTGCCTTCCAGGCGCCCTCGCGTTTTCGTGCGTTTTAGTTCTCGACTCTTTTGTTCCTTTTTCCTCGTTCTTCCATCTTGTACTCACTATTATAGTCAAGAAGGTCTACAAAATGGTCGACAACGGCTGCAACGTGTCCTTTCCCCTGTTAGACCTCGCATATACCTCGAGCGATTTCTCCGAGCCCGCAAATCTATTGTGATGCGTAGGCGCGCTAACTTTTGTAACCTTGCGCTCCCAGCTGGCGTACCCAGGGAAAACCATTCGAGGGGGGGGAGGGAGCGCGACAAAATTTTTACCTAGTGAAAGTGCTTGGCGTCAGCCACGCCTCCCCAAAAAAGTTTTCTCAAAAGGCTAAAATGAATTTTTGAATTTTGAAAACAACTTTAATTACATACAAGTATTGAATAAACAAGTCGCTTGCACATTTTTATAACTCATGTAAGTGACTTTCAGAAACTTCGCGACTCGTTCTCGGGGGGGGGGGGGAGGGGGGAGGGGGCGCCGGAAGATTATGAACAATCATAGCAGTTAGAAACCGCACGGCGACGAGGGATGATCGATTTCTGACTCAACGTGTTTGACAAGTCAAACCAAAAAGGCTTACAATTAGTCTGCCTGTTGCTGCAGAAACCTCTTTTAAATTTTCTTTCAGACTAGCTCAAAACTTGCTTCAGGTCTTGTCGAGGTACTGCACCCAAGTAAGGTAGGCCTCGCCAACGGAATTCATGTTTGACTCAGTCTGGGAATTCAACGTGTTCATTTCGAGCAGGTTGATGGAACACACGGTAGATAAATTTTCACATGACATTCCATCAAATAAAGGTTTACTAAAATGTAATATACGCCACCTCACTTGGGTGCAGCACCTCGGCCAGTTCTCGAGCAGGAGTTGAGCCAACCTGGAAAGAAAACCCAGGAGAGGTCTGCTGCAGTAAACGAGACAGAGCTTTATCTGGTTTGACCCCTCACATGCTTAACAGGAAAGACGGCGCGTTGCCGTCGTTACCGGCCAACCTTGCAGACCTTCTTGCCTGAAATAGAGGGTACAAAAAGAAGGAACGAAGAAAGAAGAAGGAAAACACTTTGAGAATGCACAAAAAATGAGGGCGCATGGAAGGCAGCCCGGCGCGCGTGGCGCGGTGCGGAGGTACCTATGGGAAGCAGGCGGGGATACACACCATACCTTTCTTAATCTTACAAATCACTGTAGATCTATCTAACAGGGGTAGCGATGACTCGATACAATAGCCGAATGCCCAAAAACTTTTTAAGACGTTTCATTCTTATGACCTTTCCTATGAGTCTAGACTTTGTGAGTAGGCATTTTTGGAGCGTTGCAAGCTTTTAATGCTAACAGTGAGCGATAAGGAAACCACAGATTAGAAGCGAAATAAGCAATGATAGAAAATTGTAGAAAATCTTGTTTGAGGAAGATATACCATCGTTTAAGGCTGTTGTTGATTCTGTTGTTTGCAGCGGTAATCTGAAAATATTGATTAGCAAGCATATGAACCACATATAGGCTGATTTCGAGCAAGACTTTGAAATGCTTATCTCTTTAACATGTTTTCCTCTCCATAGCCTTTTACACATCCTTTGCTCTCCTTCGTGCTACAAATTACATGATTGATTCTGGGACTAGACAACTCGAAAACGCTTTGCACAGTTCAATTTGTTCACACTTGGGGTGGAGGAGTAGATGTAGCCATAACACATAGATACACACATACACACATACACACATACACACATACACACATACACACATACACACATACACACACACATACACACACATACACACATACACACATACACACATACACACTATAGTTGTAACCAGGGTCAAGCAAGGGGTGTGGCACACGATCGCTGGTTACGACCCCCCCCCCTGATTGCTGTCTTAATAAGACCCCCCCCTGAACTATATACCTAGATAGCATTACCAGAGTTGAGAAAGAGGTCAGGCACAAGTCTTTCGAACCCCACCTCCTCCTCCTCTCCCATGAAAGCCCTCAAACGACCCCTTCTTCCTCCTCTTAACCTCTGGATCTCAAAGTGTGACATTCTGGAGGACACCATCTTTTTATAGAGAGTTTTCAGATTTCTGAGGGCCGTACGCCCGATTTTCTGTGACTGCACTTTACAATCACACGTAATTTGACGGCTGATTTTGATCTGGGGCATATTGAAAGGGCCTTTCTTATGGGTGGGGCGTTCGGCTCCAAATTCCCAATGTAGCAAGAAGAAGCTATGTGCTCAATACTCATACCAGCAATGGAGCGCTTTCTGGATTTTGAAGGCAAGTTAAGGGGTGCGGCACACCCCCTTAAAAGCTGCGGCAGCCGCAGCTTTTAAGGGGGTGTGCCGCACCCCAATAACTATATCAAAAAAAAACATTTTTAGCAAACAATATTTATATGATTCGATAGCTTAAACCTTGTAGATTCCATAGGACTGTTTGGAGCCTGATTTGTCTTCTTAGCTCTAAGTAATATTTGGTGAAAGCACCGCGATCAAAAGCGAAAAATGGGAAAAACGAGATTTTGGTTGGCCTCTAATTCTACAGTTTGCAGGTCTTCTGAAGCGGGATTCCTGAGGTGGACAAAGAAGAGTAGTGCTTTGTCTTGAGTGCAAAAACGGATAGCTAATTCACCTTTGAAACAAAGTTAACCATGTTGGAATTTGACCATTTTATTTAGGTAGCCTAGTATTTTGAATCTTCAGAATTCGCTCACACTTTGTCTACAGGGGTTAGTTGACATGCTTATTATGGAGATATGATACGAATATCATGTTATCACTATTATCAAATTACCCAACTACGACCCCCTCCCCCTTTGACTCCTCAATACGACCCCCCCCCCCCCCAGGTGTGGCGTGCCGCACCCCACGCTTGACCCTGGTTGTAACGAACAGAAATTTTCGCCGAATGAACGAATATCGAATAATTAATTTTTGAAGATTTTTCGAACGAATGAATATCGAATAATTGATTTTCGAAAATTTTTCGAACGAATGAATATCGAATATTTGATTTTCGAAAATTCTTCGAATGAACGAATTTCATTCGACTTTCGATTTTCATTTTCTTCGAATTTGAATATTCGAATATTGGCACATTCCAAAATTCGGAATAACGAATACATGAATAACCGAACTTGATCGAATATTCAAGCTAATTTCGAATAAATGTTCGAATATTATTCGAATATTTGCATGCATTATTCGAATATTCGAATATTCGAATAACTATCTTTCAAAATTACTCGAATGAACGAATATTCGAACAACCTTTTTTGAAACTCCTCGAATGAACGAATATTCGAATAAGTTATTATTCGAAATCGTCGAATGAACGAATTATTCGAATATTGGCCTATCTCATTCATTCGACTACTCGAATAATCGAATAAATGGACTTTCTCGAATATTCGACTATTCGAATATTCGAATAGTCGGATATTTCGAATAAATTATTCGAACACGAATATTTGGTGCTAACTATAACACACACATACACACATACACACATACTCACATACACATTTACACACATATGGTTCATTTATAAAATCGTGACGACGGATTTTACTGCGGACTTTGCGCCCACAGGAGCATAAAACGCTCATACAAGAAGGCATCACCTCGACGTTCAGCTCAGACACTTCCAGCGTCTAAATATTATCATACGCAAGCAAAGAAAACATTCGACTAGAGATGAAAACCAAGAAAATGCGGTTTCCGCAACTGGCGTGCGTGTCGCGCGCGGTCGCGCCATCGTCACGATTTTTCAAATGCCCTATACACACATACACACATACACACATACACACATACACACATACACATATACACACATACACACATACACACATACACACATACACACATACACAGATACACACGTACACACATACACACATACACACATACACACATACACACACACAGGCTGCGTCCAGAGTTCCCGACCTTTGTCGAGGCTTGGACAGCTACAAGACAGCGCCGGCACTGCGGTACCAGAGTTCTTGATGGTGGGGGAATTTCAATCAATACCGGTGCGACTACTTGGCCACAGGCGCCAGAACTGCTCGTTCGAGTAAACTACGTTTCTCCTTTTCACTCGCTTTTTTCTGCTATTGTTACAACTTTTATTTCTTCAGGAAATCTCTCTTGCCAATGTTGTTTTTTTTGGAAAGAAGTGGTGCTTGATGCCCTGGGGCGAAGAATTTGGAGACCCTCAAGTGGAAGCTCTTATCCTGCTTTTGGAATGCGGATGCGAAGCTCGGTATTCCGATAACCGTCAACTTCGACGAACGCAGCAGTGAACAGTTATCATGAAGAGGAACTTGCGTCTGAAAACTTGTGCCCGCATTAAATATATTCTTCTAAGAGTAACGACGGTACAGCAGCTGAGGCCAGCTAATTAAAAGATACAACTTATTTGAAGTCTTCAAACGTATGGTTGAATATCAGCTCATCGGAAAAGGATTGTCAAACGCAAATTCTGAGTAGTTCGGCTTGTTGGATTACAAACGTTTCGCTTGATTTAGGAGTTTCAAATGATGAGCTTATTCAAGCATGGATGAGGATGGAAGGATGTGAACATTTTGATAGCAAAGGTCCAAATCGAAAAAAGTAACGCCTTGTACAGGAGTATAGTATCGATTGCTATGACCAGACATTGAACGAAGATCAGCGCGAGCGCAGGAAGAGCGGCTACTTTTGTATGATTTCATGCGAGCGGACGCGCTCGCAACTTTGCTCAATGATTTGGTCATCATCGGACAGTCGGTTACACCAAGTTTTTTCTGAAGAAAATCAACGCAGAGAGATAGAAAAGACCACTCGTATTGCGCAGGTCGGCCAAGTCTGGACGGAGCCTCATTTTCTTTCATAAGATCGCAGCACCCTCGAGAATACCTGAGACGCTTATGTGACGGGGAAACGAGCGATTAAACGACAGATAAGCGCCCGACGGGTTTTGCGGATGCGTTGGTAAGTAGCTTACAAATGTTTTGATCAAAGCGATTCATGCGAGAGGTTATGCACCCACAATCCCTGAGGGCTATGCGTGAGCTGTCATTGCCTGCGGATATCAAACATTGCGTAGGTTGTCGGATGATTTAGAGCCGACGTTCGGGTCAAACAGAAA